CAGAGCCTCGATCATAACATTATAACAGGCACCTTCCGAGTAGAGACCTGCACGATCGCGGGACCCAACGCAGAGTGCGAGTGCAACACTTGATGGGCGAGTGTGAGTGTGGGCTGGTAGAGACTCGTGTGTGTGAATATTCGGCATATATGAGGGAAAATAAGAAGTGCTTATGAAAAGCAAAGTTACATTGAGATATATATATATATAATTTTTTTCTTGCTGATCCGAAAAACAGTCCAATCCGTGGCTCAAAAACCATAATATGATCTGAACCGTGAGATTTGTAATCCATTGAACCACTAATAGTATCTCAGTGCTACTAGTCTTCTCAGGTCATGTGACTCGTGTGTGTGTGTGTGTGTGTGTGTGTGTGTGTGTGCAGATGGCGAGGGAGCAGAGGAAGGAGCGGCCGCTCATCAGACGTAAATCGGATCTTCCTCAGGACTCGTACACCACGAAAGCCTTGGAGACGCACCGGCGCGCCGAAGACATGATGACCAACCACGACAGCCGCTAGCTCACACCGCTCACGCTCAGGTTGTCGTTTCTCTGGTGTTTTCTTGACTCTCTTCCTGTGGTTCGTACCTCACCATCGGTCTGGCCGGCTCGCTGCTGCGTGGATGAGAAGACACTCGAAGCTGAAATTCTCCAGCGCAAGCGGAAAGCTTTCTTAGCGTTTCAGATTTGTGTTTATTTTCAGGGACGGTTGCCAGTGCCAATACTGTCGTGTTGATTAGCTTCCAGAGATTTATTTGTGTGTTTATTGCTTCAGCTAATGTGGTGTTTCAGACTAAAGCACGTATGTCACGTGTTCTCTCTGTGTGTCGCTCAGATCTGATGACTTTAGTTAGTTCACTTCTGTGCCATGATGAACTCTGACCGTTTAGTTGAACTTTGTTTCTCTGGCAGAATCTGCCACTCATTGTGCTGTTTTACTGGTTCAAACAATGGTACTGTTTCTCGATCAGATCAGTGGCGTCCGGAGCGAAGGCCGCGTGTCGTGTGCGACGGCTGAATGTCACAAACATTCCCGGATCAATTCACCCGGCACGGCTGTTACAGCAGAGCTCTGGGATCCGTTAGCAAGCTCTTCTGATCTCCAGACTCCAGCCGTACGGACTGTGACTCTAAAACACGTCCAGAAGGATCTCAGTGCCTTTCAGCGGCTGTGACGGCGATTCTGATGAGAGCCTTCGGTCCGTTCGGATGAATCCAGATCCAAACGCAGCGATGTGATGCCGACGCTTCGAATGTTCATTTCCATCTGGATGTTTTCCTGTTATTTTATTGAACTACCTAGAAGCACTTCCTGAAAACTTGAAAACTCTACTCTGTGTGTGTGTGTGTGTGAGAGAGTGTGTGAGAGTGTGTGTGTGTGTGTGTGTGTGTGTGAGTGAGTGAGTGTGTGTGTGTGTGTGTGTGTGTGTGTGTGTGTGTGA